AGGGAGGCACGGCAGCACACATTCCATCGTCGTATGGATGGATGGATGGATGTGGGTGCAGGAAGCGTTGCGTCAGCACCTGCCAGCGTTGATCGGGAGGGCTGTCGGAGGGTTCAGGTCGGTATAGTGCGGCCAAAAGCGCGGCACTGCCCACGCGGTTCGTCCGTCTGTCGTGTGTCGCGCAGGTTCGTTATCGGGTCGACCATCTTTTCGTCCACCCAGTCCAAGTATGACCCCAGCAACATCAGCACAGACAAACGAGACAACGCCGTCAAGCCACCCAGCGTCTTCAAATCTATCGGTACACTCACACAGACACAGACACAGACACCCTCGGAGGCAGCACACACATATCCAACTGTGTGTTGTGTGTGTGTGTGTGTGTGTGCAGAGGAGGACAACCGCCGGCAGCAGGAGGTCCTGCAGAAGCAGTGTGAGCAGCTCCAGCAAGAGATCAACGCCCTCAAACAACAGCACGAACAAATCTCCCAGCAGCTCGCGGTAAGCCCAGCCAGCTGGCCAGCAGACGCCACGAATGAAGCCACACATATACCGGTCCGCAATCTGATCAGGATGTCGCACAAGAGGAGGTGGCGCAGCGGGCGTCCGTCAAGAAGGAGCAAGACGCCAGGTCGGCAATGAACCAGGCCAAGCAGCGTCTCGCTCTCGCCCAGGAGAACCTGACCAAGCTCAAGCAGCAGCCCGTCAACGTGGACGCGCAAAAGCGGGCCATCACGGAGAAGCTGCAGAAGGCATTCCACGACCAGATCAGGAATGTCGAGCTGTGTGTCAAGGAGGCCGAGGACAGACAAAAGGTGACGCCCACTCCATCCATCCATCCACCTGTGTGTGTCTGAGCAGGTGGTGCTAGAGTTGGAGAAGCTGCAGGCTGACTGGTATGGCGCATGGTGGCCGGAGGGATGTGTGCAGGGTCGACCATGCCGCTGTTGGTGTGCTGTTGCAGGCAGGTCAAGCAGCAGGAGGTCCAGGCCAAAGCCGACCAGCTATCGGAGCCGCTCAGAAACGTCAGGACACCCGACACACACACATGGACATTCACTTCCACACATGGCTGTGTCCCTGCTGGTCTGTCTCTGTCTTGTTGTCAGCTGAGTGACTCCGAGAAGGCTCTGGAGAGCGGCCGTCGTCAGCTCAAGACGGCTACGGACAAGCACCGCAGCCTCAACGCCAGGTGGAACGACAAGCGCAAGGACATCACTGATGAGCAGATGGACAAGATGGAGGACCTACCCGACGATGAGGAAGAACTGGAGGTAAGGAGTGGTGCAGTAGCCACACCCACCACACGCGGCCCCTCCACCTTTGAGATGTGTGTGTGTGTGTGTGGTAGGCGCATGCGTCGGCTAAGCGTGCTGAGGGCGATCGGCTGCTGGCCAACCCACGGTAAGCAACCGAGTTGAGTGAGTTGAGCTCGGCGTGTATCTTGGCTGCATTGCACTGCCTGCCCTGTTCTCTACGGTGTGTCCGGTATCATCCCTTCAGTGCTGGTGAGGAGTACGAGCAGGCCAAAAAGGAGCGTGAGGAGGTGCAGGACACCATACAGGTGGGTGCTGCAACAACAACGCGGCAAAACGAATGCATGCTCGCATCCTGGCTGGTCTGGTCTATGTGTGTGTGTGTGTGTGTGTGGTTGTTGTTGTATCAGGAGTGTGAGGAAGCCATCGCGACCACCGACGCGAGTCTCAAGGAGGAGTCACAGGCCTTCAAGGAGAAGGTCCAGTACACCATGAAGCTCCTGCACAGACGATTCTCCTGGTGACGGGCACATCCATCCACCATAAGGATCGACCACCTTGTCCATCTCTCTCTCTCTCTCTGTGTGTGTGTGTGTGTGTGGGTGTGTTCAGTTTCATGCGCCAAGCGGGGTTCGACGGCAGTGTCGTGATGAAGGAGGGAGGCGAGGAGAGCTTCGAGAAGATGGGCATCGTCATCTCGGTAAGTCGACCGTGCTGCCGGTGGCGCGTTCCTCTCGTCATGGGTAGCGATTGTCACTCTCTCTCTCTCTGCGTGTGTGTGGATCTATCTATCGGTGTGTCGACAAATCAATCAGGTTCGTTACAAGGCCAACGCGCCTCTGCTGCCGCTGTCGCCAAATCAGCAGAGTGGCGGCGAGAAGATGATCGCCACAATGCTGTTCATCATAGGTAGCTACCCATACACACACACACACACACATCGACAATCTCTCTGTCTCTGTGTCTGTCTTGCCGTTGCAAACAGCGCTGCAGGAGGAGGGCAAGAGGTCAGCCGGCGTCGACCTGCAGAGAGAGAGAGAGAGAGAGAGGGAGAAGACGCGTCCCTCTCACCCACACTCTCCTGTCTCTGTGCAGTCCTTTGCGTGTGGTGGATGAGATCAACCAGGGTTTGGACGCCAACAACGAGAGGAAACTCATGGACCTACTGCGCGTCATCGTCAACCCACAAAAGGTGCACACGAAGACACACGGGGTGTGTGGGCGTGTCCATCTGTGTGTGTGTGTGTGTGTGTCTAGGAGCGTGAGTTGATGCAGCAGTATGATGAAGAGAATGACGAGATGGATGAGCAGCAACCGGCCGGCGATGGCAACGGCGATGGCAACGGCGGCGACGGTCGACAGTCGCAGTTCATCATCATCACCCCGCAGGTGGGCGTGCTAACAAGGACAACACACAAGGAACAATCATACATGCAATGGTCGACCCACTCTCTGTCCCTCTCCCTCTTCATTCTTGCCACCAGATACCTCACACAGTATCCATGAGGTGACCAATCGATGGATGGATGGCACGGACGGACGGATTTTCGTGTGTTGTGTTGTGTTGTGTTGTGTGCCACCAACCACTTGACTTGCAGGGGTTTCGCGACGCATTTCCCGTATGACGGCAGCGGTGTGGCGACTGGCGAGACACTCGCCATCGAGTCCCAGCTACCTGATGACGCGCGGTGAGGTGACTGACTGACCGACGGACGGGTGTGTACTCAATTGAGAACGTGTTTGTGCGTCTGTCTGCATGGATCGTGTCCCACATCGGCTTTTGGACACACAGCTGGTCACGGCACACCACCACACGCAGTGCAGTCACTATGCACTCAGGAAACAGACACACATAAGAGCACCTCCTCTCCCCTTTCCCAGTCTCTTATCCAGACTTTCATTCTTCCAGCTGCCACTCCTCCCTGAGGACGGCACCAGTGTCAGTGGCCCCTGTGACTCCCCCGCCTGCCCCCTCTCTCCCCCGCCGCAAAGTGATGAGCCGCCACTGCACGTCGCCCTCGCCCTTGCCCTGCAGACTGATGCGGTCGGGGATGACCTTGACCAGCCGATAGTCATCGTCTGTGAGGGAGGCGCCCCATCGCCTCTTCCAGTAGTGCCGCCGCTGCTCCTTTGAGTCGATGACCGCTGCTGTGCCGTGCACCACCAGGTGACGATGCCTACACACAGGCAGATGCACACACAGAGAGAGGGGGGGGGGGTGGGCCTGCCT